AACACATTATCCAATACTTGAAATACTTTTTTATTGTATTACAACAAATCAGTGTAGGATTCTAGTATATTTTCTATTTTAAACAAAAGACTTCAACTACTGAAGCTGGTCCAAACGGCAAACTACCTCACATTGATCTGCCAGAAAATAAATCTAAATTTTACAATAGGCAACAGACGTCCAGCAAATGAATCTCTATGTAGACGAAAAAAAAACAGGAAAGCTGCCAGCGTGATTTCTGAATATAGCAATGGGAAAAATGCAGAGAGAAATACTGAACCTCTAACAACACCCGAAGAAAAGCTTCTCCTTGTTTTGTTTTTTTATCACAGTACATCTAATATTCCATTTTATGTGCCATTAATCTAAAAATGCTTATTAAGTTTTCCCAAAAAGCACAAAACAGTAAAATAAAGTTCTGTTAGCTATAACACCAATCAATACACAGTATACAAATAAATGAATACAACACTAGCAATAGCAGAATCACTTTATCATTATGGCAGTTAGTTAATTTTATAATAAATACATGTGTGACTTTTCACGGCTTTGTGATTAATAGACATATGCTCCCTCAGTTGCACAACCTGTCGTATTTCTCTGCAATACTGAGAGCTGCCAGGAGGTCTTCCAGACATTTCAGCAAAGAACACTGAAGTACAGATTTATTACTGGGCTACTTAAAATTAAGTGCCAGCATGATAGTATGTATTCTTTTTATTCAGAAATTCTTTAAACAGACAGAACAAAATGCTTTTGGTGCTAAAATTGTACCTGGCCAGACATACTATGCCAAAATGAAAAAGCAAGTGAAAGAATTGTGTGTCTAACATGAGTAAGTGAAATTTATCATTATCGCTGGGGGAAGTTCCACCTTTATAAGGCTGTTGATATTCTTCCAATACAATATAACATATCTGTGCATGATTGCTCTTTTTAACAAGCAGCTTGAATAAAATATATTACAAATTCATGCTAAGGGAAAACAGCATAGACAGTTAGTGATCTATAGATAAACTGGACGCACAGATTAGAAAAAAACATGAAACCTCACACATCACAGGAGAGCAAGAGGGCTCTGTAGTCCTTTATTTTTAAAACCACACTATGAACTACAATTGAGAAATGCAGGCCATCTTTTCTTCAAGTCAGATTGGGGTTTCATAAATCTATAGTTTCTAAGATTGTGAACGTATTATTAATTATTCTCATTGTATCAGGTAATGCACACTGTTTTGTGAGTAATTAACTATGGAAAATGCAGGAGAAAAGACTAAAAGCATCAGAGCCATTATTGCTATTGTTATTATAATACAAAAATTAGGGACACATTTCTCCTGTAATATCTCCTGTCTTACTATCAGGTGCTATTTGAGAACATACTAGCAAATTAAAAGTGACTGGTAAAAACTATTTCCCTGTGCTTTAAAAATATATATTATCACTAATTTTGAGCTACCAAATTTGCTTTGTAGGCTTAGCCTCAAACACAGCACAGATCAGTGGAGAATAATCTTGATAGAATCAGACCGCCCCTCTCACATTACCAAGAGTACAGAGTCCATACAAGGAATACCTCACTCTTTCAGGAGTTAAAGCACAGCTAAAATAAATGAATGGGCATATGGGGAGAAAAAAAATGATCTGGCATCATGTTACCCTTGCATTGTTTACATTACATCATGTCTAAATTTTGTTGTTCAGTATCTTTCAAAAACATATATTATTATAAACAAATGTATACATGATCCTAATAAATGTAACGTTTTAAAAATAATTGCTTCATACTGAATAACTCAAGGAAAAATCTGTTAATGAGTGCAAACTATGTAATAACTTTATCTAGGTTACATGTTTCTTTTTTACAGAAGCTGTTAGAATTGACATAAATCTCCCCATTTGTCCTAATAATTTCCTTGGTAAGTGAATCAAGAACATGAAAAGAAATACACATTTCAGTCAGACTCAATAGATATAACTTCAGTTTAGTGGCTAAGGTAAAAGTATATGATCTATGCTAGACTCCATCACTGTTTTAATAAGAAGCAGCATTTGGCGCCACCAAGAGATGATGTGCACTAATTACACTGATTTCGTTTAGAGGTACAAGACCAGTCGATTCAAGACGGCAGTCAAGAGAAGACAAAAACCTCGAATTCAATGAAAATGCAAAAAGAATAACCTTTTAATTTCCAGACATATTTAATTTGTCAGGAACAGTCCAAAATAACTAAAAATTATATTTTGTACATCATTTTTCACAGATATAAAAGAAGCTCCACAGATTCTTACCTGGCCTCATCTCTTCACATGCAGACTTAGCATAGGCATATTAACTACATTTAAAAAACTCACTATGCCTAACAAAACCTAAGGTGTACTTTGAAATGAAATGTCAGTACTTTGCAATGAAAAAGGCTATAATAATATAGGAAAAATAAAAAAATAAATTTATTAATTACTATAATTACTATGTAACTGATATGAAGTTGAATGTATTGTGACTTTAAAGTCAATTTAAAACTCACAGGGAGTAGTGCAGTGTAGATCTTCAGGACAACAGAATGTAATTGCCGTTTTAATTGAGCTAATTAACTTACTAAATTGATCAAAACTCATGACTTCCAAGTCTTTACTAACTGAAGAATTAAAGGTGACTGAAGACCAGCTCGTCTCCTGTACTCCAGGACTAACGGTGGCCACCGCTTGAGTAGAATATTGCCATCTAGTGGACTTTTGGTAGTATTGCAGTCACTTTCCCCGCAGAATATTTAATTCATCCTAACGTGACTCCAAAATGTTTATAAACAACTATGTAAAATATATTGTAGGACTCACTGTCCAAGACGATAGATATATACTGCATATTAAATTAATAACTATATAGTACATTAATATAAAGCAAAGAAAGCAGCGGTGAGCCTTAAATTTTTCACTTTTTTAATATAAAATATAAATATATATATCACACTCATGTCTATGACAAAAGACACAACGGGTTTCCTAGTTTTACTCTTATTATGTACAAAATTGTAAGAAGGAACACTTCTTCAAATGTATGTGTCCTCTCAAATTCTTGTTAAGAAAATACTATTAATTCTCTATTACTATTAATTAATCCTAAAGAATAAATCACATGTACACCAATTAATCTAATAAGACTCAATAAAATGCTAATTATAAAGCATAATAACAGCTGTAAATTAAAAGTAACATTCTGCATTTGTGGTGGAACATAATTTTCAAAACAAATTATTTTCATGCTCAAAGAACTAGCGAAAAGCTTGAAACAAGTAACATGTAATGGTGATGCTAAAAGGTTTTATTTCTGAGCGATTTTAAAGAACTAAGAATGCTGTACAACAGCACAGAAATAAACTAAATAACGTAAATTGACTTAGTCAAACCATGAGTAAAAGTAAACTGCACAACAAAATCTTTACTTTACTTAAAGGATATGTATTTAAGGCAGTTTAAAAATGTCAGCAGCTACAAGATCTGTCATTGTTTGGGGCTGTGAGCTCCAAAGAAGGCTTTTTAGCCTATAATGTGAAACCTGGTCTTCCATGACCTGAATCAGCAGATTTCTGATTAAGTGTTTGATTATACTTACTCGATACTTTACACACAAGCAGGAGAACCTTAATGTAAAATTCATAGGTAGACATGTCAATTTACATAGGATGGTATATATGTGGTGATGGAAATAGCACACAAGCCACATAACTCTGGGGAAGTCTATTTAGTACCTTAGAGAATATCTCAATAAGTTAGAAGTTATAGGTTTTACACTTGTCTAATCTTTATTAAATAAAAACATGTACCAAACGTTCACCTTGCATTGACAATATCATGGGCCCAAGCAGTAAATACAGATAGAAGAAAGAAACCTTTGTGAAATTCCCAGAATGCACATTACAACAAAGTATCAAACATAAAATCAAGGTTTTCAACTTCTATTAAGTGTATGGTTATAGCACTAGTAACTGAAGTTATCAGCTTTTGAAGCTGGTATGGGGAGCCTATGAGCATAACCTCAGTACAGTCAGAGTGTAGCACAAAAGGGGTTTGCGAAACCTTATTATCAGACAGTCACCTGTGAAGTGCAGAAACAGCAGCCGCGGTATTTGATTTGGTTGGCAAGTAAACCCAAAATGCCACCAGCATTGCAGTGAAACCCAAGTGCACGAAAGTGAATAGTTTGATCACAAGGCAACATGTAAATACTAAATCCCAAATCTTCAAAGGATTTAAAAGCTGTCACAACCCTGTCATTGATTCATATGGATTTTAATGTTTTCCCCCCAGTCACATTCCTGCCACTTAGAACAGAGAACTAAAAGGTTATTACATGATAAATCTCCGAAGGTATCATACATAAACAAGGCATTTAACCAGAATACACAACATACATGTGCATTAACACTGATCAATAAGTGCTGTTTGCAGCTCCACTATACTCACTGCCCTCCACACGTCAACCAAAATAGTGCTTTAGCGTAATGGGTTAAATGGAAGGAGACTTCTTCCTCACAGCCAAGACTCTCAATCACATTATGTTTAGGTGCTACTGCGATAGACTTAATAAGCAAATGTCAACAAAAATGTAACTAACTGATCTTCAGAGGGATGCTGAAAATGGATTAAGAGGCGAATTGATTTATGTATTATAATCGGTATTGTTATTGAGCTCATGTACAAGAAAAGCTTAGTATATGTTATCATAAACAGATAAGCAAGATGGTTATAATAATTTAAGTTAAAAAGAATGTAGATGTCAGATGCACAGAAAGTTCAAGATTTTTACTGAAAATGCCAACAAAGCACTTCTGAATTTTAGAGAAAGATTTTAGCTGCTCAATACTTCTTTAAACTGCATTGAAAGAAGAAGGCTGTTAAAAATATTTTATCTCCAGTTTTAGAAACCTGAAGGCTGCTTTTCCCAAATAGATCTCATTTTACAATCAAGTTTTCAACTGAAGAGATTAAATTCCATTTACTGTAAAATGTTCTTGGGATTTGTAGTTTTCATCCAAGTAAACCCGGGCTCTGTTGTAGTCCTTCATCGCATCACTGGACAGCAGCTCTCTGAAAGAAATGTACAAAAATCACATTATAAAGGTAACATGACTGGGCCCCCACTGTATAAGTACTATATAATAATTTCAGAGCACACTATAAACTTTTCATTAGATATTTTCACTACATAATTGGCAGACTGATGTACATTAACTTTTTATGCAAACAATGCACATAAAGACTGATAAATTCCAAAAACAAAGTTGAGATGTCACCAGTGGGGGGAGTTATTCCCTTATTTTTACACAGTTTTCATAATTGGGCAGAGAACTATAACTGATTTAACTCCACAGTAATCCTTGTTTCCTTGTTTTTCAGTGGTACATGCAGTTTAACAAAATACATCCACTAGAAAACAGTAAGACAAACACAGGATTTGGTATTGCACTTACTTGACAAAAGTGTCCACATGAGACATGGAATCTTCATAGTTTTTTCCTCCCACTTCCTGGCAGTGTAGTGCAAGAAAATGAGGCTTATGTGTATGTACAGCCTGAAAAAAGAACAAAAAGCATAGTATTAGTTCAATCATTTGGTCATAATTCAAATATTATATATGGCCTGTACATAGAGTAATGATGTCATTAAGCAGTCAAAACAATTACGATCAATCAGGTATTCTATATTACTGTACATAGTGATAACTGTATATAGTGATGCTTCCTCAGTTTAACCACAATTAAATAAAAATAAAGTGGATATAAATTTAAAAAGTGTAGTCAAGTCTGCATTAAGCAGAAGTAATCACATGACTACATTATGCCACCTAGTGGTAAGAAAATAAAAAAATAAAAAGGATTAATTTTCTACTTTTTAGGAAAAGCATTTCTATGCAGTGGAAGGTTAGAATATGCATTTTCCTTAATACTTCACATACAATTGCCCTAAAGATTTAGCCCCATCATGTTTATATCAGGAGATATAAATATCCTTTTAAAAAGCACAAGACACTGGTGCAGAGAAGTGGGCACCAGGCATTGCACATAAACTGAGTGTTACTTCACTTAGCATGGATGAGAAAGAGATTCCTTAAGCATGCAATGTGATACCAATCATAATACCAAATTAAATATGTAACATAATAATATAATTGTCATGTCTGATAATTTGCCAAACAAAGTATATATCAAGATGAAGCGACGCCATAAAAACAATTTGGGAAGTGGACCTGCACCACGCAACCTTGGCACATCCATTCCATTACACATTTTTGTTCCAGCTAATGCTTAATTATCAAAGTGATCTTCACTACCCGGGTTAATTAAACAATTTAGGATCAACTCGGTAATAAATGTATTGGAAGGTTCAAAGTCCTGTAATGCCATGAAATGAAGTGCCAAGGTTACCCACCCCTGGCCTCTAGAATTAAATCCATCAAACGTAAAGTCTAATATATCTACGCAGTGTAGCTGAGAAGGTATAATTAATTATATATTTAATACAAAATATCATATACCCTATATTACTGCACACAAAAATAAGAGTGAATCAGCAATATTTTGCAACTTATCACATTTTTACAACAATCATTTATAGGCTACTTGCACTGTATGAATATCAAACGATATCCAAAGCATACACTGAATTGTAAAAGCACTGGAAAAAGGTTCTGATCCCCAGGGCCTTTACTCTGTGTTTATGTAACATTCACACAAAACTACTTTTTCACCGCAACAATCCATCAAATCTTTGAGAGGGGACCTCTGCTGAGTTTCTCCTTAGGGGAGATACTTATGTTTCCTCACAATTTAGCCACAATCTTCCCCTGGATGTTTTCTGAAACAAACCTTTCAAATGAATTTGTCAAGTTAAAAACACATAAGGAAATTACTATTGCATTACAGTCCTGATCTCTTGGTACTAGACCATTTGAACAGCTAAATTGTTGGGTAAAATGTCTCTAATAAGTAGCATAAGAAAATGTTGAGCATGTTTTATAAAAGAGCAAACACATTGAACAGCATCTTAAAATTCCTGTTTGCAGAAATAGCCTTTCTTTCTGGCTCTCAAAATGTGAACTCCATGTGCTACCAGGTGCAATATGTACAGCAGAGTACAGAAAAGTACAAAAAGTAAGTACAGAAAAACATTCCATCACTAATATTATACAGACCATCAAAAGAAATATATCATTCTATTCATGCATGCATATAGAAAAGGCATACAGACTTTTGAGGCTGATTTCAAATGACATGAAATGTAATGTTTTAGATTATTATTAACTAGTCGTGAGTGACCTTATCTTCTTAAAGTACTAAGTCACCTCAGACAGACTCGTCAGCAGTGGAGTCAAGTCCTCTATAGTGATGAATCAAGGTCTCCTGTAAACCACCCTGCTGGGCATCAGTGAGTTTGGACAGACACACAGAATGATACACTAATTGTTGTGCACGAACACCAATCAGTAGAAATCTTCAAATGTTATGGTTTGGGTAGGACAGTCTAGTTACTGCTGAACTGGCGCTGCTGACAGCAACCTGACTGCTTCAAGGACACTACATCCAGGGACCACATTTTCTGCCACTCCATAAGATCATCCCGATGTAACAACATTCCAGAAGGACACGCATCACATTACAACGCCCTTCTTGCAAGTTGAGAATGTGACAGTTATGCATTGCTTTAAACAGTGGCCATACATGCTATCAGCCTGTAACTTTCACAGGCTACTAGCCTGTAACTTTCACAGTAGTAACTTTCACCCATGTTGATATAGCCAGCTGATAACAAATGTCAGTCTATTCAATAAAAAGTGATATCTATTCAATTAACTCAGTCCAAAACAAGGTTTTTTTTTGTAATTTCCCATAACGGTGTGAATTTTCTTTCAATTATATGTGGGAAGGTCCTGTTGTTGTTTAGTATAAATATAAACAAAGCATGTTATTGAATACTGTAGCCACACTGAATATTTATTTGTGCACAGTAGTCTTTAGCTACAGTTGTTTAAGGGCAACATGTATGGTTAAGTCAATCCAGTTTCTTGATATCCATCATTCCAAGTACTTTAATTCATACAGTACATTTCTTTCATATCACTTAACAAAATAAATTAACATTCCCACTCGAGTTAGGTATACATAAGTATCTGACACCACCATAGTTAACCATGTCCATTAGATTGTTTGCTTTCTGATACAGGTCCAACTGTAAGAGCATAGTCTGAGAAACTATAGTAACAAGCTTTATCCAGTATGCATATGCATCACTGTGTTTAAGTGATTGTTAGGAATTAAATAAAATTGATGTACACTTTATAAACCTTTATAATGTACACATACTAAACCTTTATTTAGCAAGAAATAATTCCACTGATAAAAAAAACACTTAATTGACTCATTTTTGTGTACATTATATCATTTCAACAGACACCATAAAAACATTTAAAAAGATCATACAGCAGCCAGTGAAAAACACAGAAAATGTCCCATTGTAATTGAAATTAATTCAACAACTACTGACACAGGATAACCAACTGCAGAAGGATACAGCAGCTTTTTGTGCTGTTTCACTAGCTGGGCCTTGATGGAGCTTAGGTCAAACAAGAACATACAATTATTCACTGTTCTCATCCACTTTCAAGTACACAGGGGTGTCTGAATATACCAAAGTTGTTCAGAGGTGTTGACCTGTAAAGGAAATCTATACCAAAGTGAATTACAGCACCCAGAGGCCTCCAATTTATGCAGTATGTAAGGATGGATGAACAAGGTACAGCATTATATCATTGTCACTGGGGATCTTTAGCTCTCCAAGGGGGTGTTATATGAGGGACAGCCATAAGAACTGAAAGTCTAGCCCACTAAGAACCTTTTATTATTCTCACTAAAAGTGAAATCAAATAAATGTATGGCGCTAATGTATGGCGATAACACTATGGATTTTCAATCAACCTATGGCTCGTCGCTTAACTGAATGACCCAAGACCATGCTGGAGAATTCAGAATTCCAACCAAAAAGATTAGTGTACCTCTCAGCCCCTACCGAGAAGGTCAAGTTCCATAAAAACTAACTTGACCTTTATCGTCAGATATTTCAAGGTCTTTTTCAGTGCATAACGTACAAATGTCTAACATAAATACAGAGAGGAATGATTTAATATATTTTTAGGTCTTTTTAATCTAGGAAAAATAACTTTTGTCAATTCACCTACTACAATGTTCACTAAAATAATTCCAAGGTGCAAAAGCACATTTTTGAAAAACAGGCATATTCTTTTTCACAAATTCATTAAAAACTCTAAACATTTTAAAATGCAGTAGTTTTGCACGTACAGTATTACAGTAAGCTAGTCTTAAAAAGACATTAAAAATACCAACAATTGTGCTATCTGGTATGCACTTAAAGGAAGATTAATAGCACGTTCCACCTGTATCCGTGATACATAGCCATGTTTTCCCTTATTTCCATATTAGAGCACTTTGCACAGTAGGATGTTTGTCTAAGGAACTGTTTTAACTTTTTCCAAGATACAATAAAATTCTGTTTACTCTGTAGTGCTTCTATTTGCTCTGTAAGGGTGGATATTCTGAGGAAATCTTCTCACATTTATGAAACTTTTACTTTATCTCAGATGTCAATGCAAATAATATCTTTTAAGTAATCATAAGAGCTGCTTTATCTAAAAAAATCCATTCTGTGGAGAAAAGCTTCTTAAAACTCAAAGCTTGGTTTTGTAAAGTAATTGTGGGTTGGGAAGTGACACTCATTAGTTTGGTTATCTTTACAGGGCACACCTGGGGTAATTTTGAATTCACTTTTAAAATACACAAAACACCCACTTCAAATGGAAGAGGGTAACCTCACTGACATTCCCAGAAGGGTGTACAAAAGAGTTGCCATTAAAAATCTCCAAATTGGACAGAACTAAAACTACCTGTAAAACAGGTACAGTACAGTAGGTTTACCCACAAAAGTGTCTTGGAACACAGTGCTTTGTAAATGTCTGGTTTAATATTTTTGAACTACTAGAGTATTAATGCCTCTAGTTTTACTCAGAATAACAACCAACTTCCTGAGCAAAATTTTGAGGGTTAAGAACTGTTAAGAAAACACCATTTTATCTTGCTCTGATAAAAAAAAAGTATGAAACTAAAAATGGTTACTTCAAAAGAAAAATAACTTTAGAAAGAAACATTTTTATTAAATTTCAAAAGAGAGATTAAAAGAGTGGATTTTGACAAATCGTTCCATAACCACAGCTTGCCAAAGTGTTTCCAAAGTAATACTGCTAATAAGATGTTTATTTTTCTCCCCAAATTTTCTCTTCATATCTTCCCAAAAGGACACAAATTTTGTAACCATCTTTATTGATAGCAACAATTAACAGATTGTAATTGAAGAATTCACTAGAACAAGAAATTCTCAATGACAGCAATATTGTACTTAACATTTATCAGAATTAAAGAAATAGAGTTAACTGTATATTAAAGGAAAATTCAGTTAGTGTGGGTAGTTTGTTCTACTGTACAGACTTAAAATCCCACACACAAA